GCCTGGGCTGGGACTGGTCCTGCCGGCGCAGGTTAGCAGGAAGCTCTCCACACACTCACCGGACCTGGGCTAGGACTGGGCCTGGGGGTTCCCGGAAGTCGGCAGAAATTCCTACTTAGCGGGCGGGGTGGGGAGGAATGGCGGAGTGTTGCGGGGTAGCCCGAAGGGGTGGGAGAGTGTCCGGCCCACGCTGCGCCTGGGCTGGGACTGGTCCCAGTGGCGCAGGTTAGCAGGAAGCTCTCCACAACACTCACCGGACCTGGGCTAGGACTGGGTCTCTGAAGGACAATTTTGTAGTGAAAAATATATATCTGTATATACAAAATAGTTAGGATAGACAGCTTCTTTCTTAGTTCAATGAGAAGATTTGTACTAATAGTATTTACACAAGATAGGTCTGTCTGTATCTTGTACTATGAATAACTACTAAAGACAACAATATGCAATGTATTAATTATTGTAACTGTCTTCCTAACCTGTTTTAAAACTGTCTCATTTCCATTTCTTTCTCAATAAAATTAATTTTAAAAAATGTGTTTATTTTATTTATTTATTTATTTTTTTGTGGAACTGGGGATTGAACTCAGGCCCTTGTACTTGCCAGGGAAGCACTTGTTCCACTGAGCCATCTCCCCGGCCCCTTTTAAAAATTTATTTATTTATTTTTTTTATTTTTATTTTATTTTTTAAAAAATGTGTTTAAAGCAAATATCAATACCATTTATGCATCTTCAAGGTTGACATTAGCATTTTGCCTTATTTTCTTAAATCTCTTTTTCTTCTTGTATTGGGGATTGAGTTCCAGGCTTTCATACTGACCTGCTTTGCAAGGCCTTCTGCCTGTTTTTTGAGATAGGGTCTTCTTAGGTTGTTAAACTGTTCAGGCTCAGCTAAAACACAGTACTTCTGCCTCAGCCTCCCAGTGTTGACATTACAGGTACATGACAAACCTGGCTCCCTTTTTCTTAAAAGGCTTAATAGTTCGTTACACTAATTTGGGCTCTCTCTCTCTCTCTCTCTCTCTCTCTCTCTCTCTCTCTCTGTTTTGAGACAGGTCTCCTTATGTAGTTCAGACTGGCTTTGAAGCTCAGGCTGGCCTGAAATATACAATGATCTTCCTGCTTCAGCCTCCTAAGAGTTGAGATTACAGGTACAGGTCACCACGCTCACTACACCATTAGTTTCTACTCTTCCTATAACCACTTTTCTCAAGTCACATGTACTTACAAACAGTATGTTATTATTTTGTGTGTTTATCTTATTTATTTATTTTCTTGGTACTGGGTATTGAACTCAGGACCTTGCACTTGCCAGGCAGGCACTTAAGCCACTGAGCTATGTCCCCAGCCCTATTTTTGTGTGTTTAAATAGTTTACCTAGAAGGCACCATATGTGGTGCATCCTTTTTTCCCCCCACCAAATATGATGTTCTTAAGATATTTGATCCATGTTGCCATGTGCCTATCTTTCATTTCTGCTATAAACTGTGTCAATAAATTAATTTATTTCCATTGTGATCTGTTTTTTTAAAATTTTATTTATTTATTTATGTGTGTGTGTGTGTGTGTGTGTGTGTGTATGTGGCCAGCTCAGCCCACCAGGGGGCGGGGCTGGTTGGCATGTAGTGCTGGGGGATTGAACTGCGGTCCCTGTGCTAAGCTTGTTCTAAGTAGGTGCTTTAGACCACTGAGCCATCTTATCAGCCCTGTGATCTGTTTTTATGCTACTGAAAAGTATAATAAACACTACTTATCTCTTATATATGATTCCAATAAAAATTCTAATAGAATTTGACAGGCTGAATCTAAAATACAATACCAGGAAAAAAATCCTAACAGGTAAGGAATTTTGAAATCAAATGAAGATTAATAAGAGTGGCTACAACATATCTAACATGCTAAAAGTTGTATTAGTAACTGACTGTAAAATTAGATCCTTATCCCCATTCTACACTTACAAAATAAAATCAAATAAATTTGAATACAATTTGAAATGTAAAAGACAGTCGGACAACCAGCACTACCTATAATCCCAGCACCTGGGAGGTTGAGGCAGGAAGATTATTGTAAGTTTGAGACTATCTGGGCTACAAAGTGACCTCAAGCCTGAACTGCATAGTGAGACCCTGTCTCAAAAAGGCAAAGAAAAAAAAAACCATATATATAAGATACCACAAAATATCAGTATCTAAGAGATTACTAATCAATAAAAAAGGAGAAACATCAAATAGAAAATGATTATGATAAAGATTATGATTATGAAATTTATGGAAGTAACTTAAATTGCATAAACCTATGAAAAGATTCTCAAGAAATAAAATAATGCAATACTATTTTGTATCCAGCTGATTAGGAAAAGTTATTAAGTGTGATAATATATCATGTTGGGAAGGGCTGAATAAACAGAAACACGTATGTGCCCACAAAATGATAGTAACCACTTCACAAAGCAATCTGGCAACATCTTGGGAGGTATCATTACACATCTCTTATGACTTCAGTCATCAATTTTTGGGTGTTGACCCTAAAAATAATTCTTGGATGTTCATCTTGAATGAATGAAATTAAAATTATTCTGAGAAGAATGGTTTGGACAAATTTTATCTTAGTACTACTTAAGAAGCTCTGGAAGCATAAAAACGACTCTAGGAATGTTATTATTTTACTTCCTTACCTTCAACAGGAAGTTGGGAGGAAAAGTCTGAAGGCAAAGATAAGAGAGCATGATCGTGAAGTGCAGCAAGCCAGAGCCTGCTCAGTGTCCCAAGGTCAGTGCACACTAAGTCAAGCAGTCCATCTGGTGAGTGCAACCCATCTTTAACGCTATCCTCTAAATAGGTGGCAGTCTTCAAAGTTTGTTTGTGGTTTTTATGTCTTTGTACAGCAATTATGTAGACCTGTAAAAGGTTAATTAAGTTTTAAGGTGCCAAGGATCAAACTTGGGGCCTCACAAATGCCAGGCAAGTGCTCTACCATTGAGCTACAGCACCAGACCCTTGAAGGCTAATTTATTATTATTTTTTTTTTACAGAACCAGAGATTGAACTCAGGCCCTTGCACTTGCCAGGCAAGTGCTTATTCTACTGAGCCATCTCCCCAGCCCCTTGAAGGCTAATTTATAAATAGGAAAATCCAGTGTCTGCTGAAAAGGTTCCATACTTTTACATTTTCTTAAAGAGGCAGAGTTAACTTTGAGCATATTGAACTTGAAATGCATTGTGGAACCAAGATAGTATACATCTGTGTAACCATGCACACAAAACTGGGACAAAAAGATCCTAACATATCATCTTCAATGAGATTCATCAGGATTAACAAACCCAATATGTTATCATTTTGTACTTTAAATATTTATTTATTTATTTGGTATAGGGCCTCACTTCACAGCTCAGAGTCATAGTGATCCTCCTGTCTCAGCTTCCCCAGAGTTGGGATTACAGGCATGCATTACCACACTGGGTCTCTGGGGCTGGCGAGGCATACCCAGGGTTCCAGGGCCAGTACAGCATGCCATTCTGGGGACTGAACCCAGGTCCTTGCACTTGCCAGGCAGGTGCTAGGATCGCTGAGCTATCTCCCCAGGCCCATTTTGTGCTTTAACAAAAATGACAACTACAAATAACTAACTACAGCACTCTTTCTCATTAAACTAGATTATGGCTTCATAATCCACTTCAATATATGGCTATCAGCACAAATCTCTCAACTGAAAAAAGCTGAATAGAAATATTTTTATTGAAACTAAGTCATTACAAATTTTTTTTTTTTTTTTTTGTGGCCACCTCAAGATGACTTTAGGGCATTTCTGGTTTGGCGGGAGTATCTGGGTTTGAACCACAGCATCCTGAGCCTGAATGCTTCGTTTAAGCAGGCACTTAAACCACTGAGCTAATGGGCAGGCCCCCATACAAAATTTATATAATAGATTAACACACAGTGTAGAATAATTTTTTCAGCATAGTATATAATATGTACTATCACTTTATCTACAACTCTAAAACCCTCAAAACTGAAATAACTAAGATTATGTAAACTAATCTACTGGCGAAACTGGCTGAACTTTTTTGAATATTGAGGTATTTTACTGTAGATATATAATATGTTTGATTACAGTCTATGGTACTGCTTCAGATTTCCTAGTATACATACAAATATGTAATACATAACTTTTCTAGGGACTGGGGATTTAGCCCAGCAGTAGAATGCTTGCCTAGCAAGCTAGAAGCTGTGGGTTTGGTCCTTAGCACCCAAAACAAAAAATAAATCTCAACTAAAAAACCTTTACAAAAGAGACCAAAAAAATTTTTTTTTTCTAAAGTCCTTTAAATTCTAAATTCCCAATACAGGGCTGGACAGAGAGCTCAGTGGGCTAAAGCGCCTGCTTAGGAAAGCGTAGCCAGGGTTTGATCAGCCCCAGGGTGCACTGAGAAACAACTAAGACTGGGCGTGGTGGCATGCACCTGTAATCTCAGTGCTTGGGAGGCTGAAAACAGGAGGATCGCTACGAGTTCAATCTGTGTAGTGAGAACCTGTAGAACCCTGTCCTAAATGCACTAAAAAAAAAAAACAACTCCCAATATATAGCTGGGTTTGATGGCTCATGCCTGTAATCCTAGCACTTGCAGATCTGATGCAGAAGGAGCTCTGTGAGTTTGATGCCAACATGGGCTACACAGTCATTTCATTAGCAGTCTGGAGTACAATGTGAGTCCCTGTCTCGCATACCTAAATAAGAAAAACAAAAAGAATTTAAAATATACCTGGCTAAAGGATTTCAGCTAAAGAATTATGGACCATGATTATGCAGAGTATAATAACACTCTTTACTGAGGAAAAAATAAGAGGTAATGGGCTTGATGGAGAGCAGAAATTCATACTGTTTTAAGTAACACTATCTGGGCAAAGAGTTCTTTGTAGAATAGATTATAGAACATTTTTCTTTGCTCTACACTAAAAATGATACAACTTTTTTCCTGATTAGGAAATAGCTATTTAATATTTCATAGTAATTCTATAGGGACTGAGGATATAGCTCAGTGGCGTAAGCATCTACCTGGCAAGTCTGACGCCCTGAGTTAAATTCCTGGTAACAAACCAACCAACCAACCAACCAACCAACCAACCAACCAACCAACCAACCAACCACAAAATAATTCTGTAAAAGGAAATTAAAAAACATTAAAGTATGTGTCACATAACTGACAGACAAGCAGACACATATATCCATAAAATGATTTTAACGAAAGCTGATTTTAATAGAAGCTTTAATAAAAGGTGATTTTTTTTTTTTTGGAACCGGGGATTGAACTCAGATCCTTGCATTTGCCAGTCAAGCACTTTTCCTACTGAGCCATCTCCCTGGCCCCTAAAAGGTGATTTTTTAAAAATAAAACTTAATATGCTATTATAAAATTTTTCCAGCTTGGAACTACTCCTGCTTAAAGACAATGGGATTCTTTACATGTATATAAATCTCATGTTGGAAATTTTTTGTTTACCTTAAAAATGGATTTACTAAAAAAAAAAAAAAAAAAAAAAAAGAATTTACAATAAGAGAGAAGAACAGAACAGACCTATAATTCGAAAACTCAAGAGGCTGAGGCAGGAGGATCACCACATGTTCAAGATTAACCTGTGTTAGACAGTGAGATCAAGGCCAGCCTGAACTGCAGGCTGAACAAATCTGGCTTCAGCCTCATGACCAGAGACCAACCTCAACTTCGGGGGAACTGAAGGTGCAGGCTGCTTTACCCACTCCACTGAAAAGTTAGGCTGGCTTGCTAGGATTAATCAGCTCAGCTCTGGGCTCTGTCTGCCCATATTGTCCATTAGTGACAGCAGAGATACATCTTGAAGTGGACATTTTTTTTCTTATTTTTTTATTTTTCTTTTTATCCCCCCCCCACTTGATTGTTCTTGTTCTTATATGACTATGGGTGAACAAGGATTCTAATGTTGTTGTTATTATTATTCTGTTTTTTTTTTTGTTTTTTGTTTTGGATACAGGGTCTAGCTATGCATTTCGGACTCATAGTGGTCCTCCTGTCTCAGCTGCCCTAATGCTGGGATCACAGACATGTGTCACCATGCCCGGTTTTGAGGTTCGTCACAGCACAACCAGGGTTCCAGGCTGGCACAGCATATGGTATCAGGGATTAAACTCAGGACCTTGCGCCTGCAATGCAGGAGGTTGGACCACCAAGCTATCTCCCTAGCCTCTTAGCTTATTTTTTTTTTCTTACCTTATTTTTTAATTGTTATATAACCACAAATCTAGCTCATAGGATTAAGATGGCAAATTGTTACTGAGTTGTTTTCTAGTCTGTGTTTGATGTTACTGTTATTGCTCATACTGTTCTAATCAGTTGTTCTTCCTCGTATGCCAAGACTGAGATTACCTAGGGGTTATACACAATATGATAGGCCAGTGCCAAATGGGCTAGGCCATATAAGTAGCAAGCTCTCATCACCAATAAATTGAAGAGATATGATCTTGCAACAGACTCAAAACCCAAAAGCCAGCTATAACTGGAAGGTACCTTGGAGCAGTCATTTCCTAATGGTTCTAAATAATAGTAATAAAGTTACTTGCTACAATTTATAAGCATAAATCTAGGAATTAAGACAAAAAAAATTAAGGGACACCCTGTCTCAAAATACAGATAAACAAATGACTAATTTTAAATAGCATTTCAGTTTTTAACCTAAAGTGTTTATTAACAACTTCCCAAATCCCAGTTATAACTTAAAAAGTACTAACCTCTGCCCAGGCTTTTAGCACAGCTAAAATCTCCATGGTAGAAGCACTTTCACTGTACAAACGACTTAGACCTTCTTTTCCAGCCTGTATTTTTGTTAATGATGAAACAAGCAACTGATAAACTCTTCGAAGATCATTAATGTCACTTACAACTCCACTTGCAATCCAGGCACTGCAAACCTGGGTGGGTTTCAAGAAAATCCAAAGTTATACTTAGAAAGTATAAATACTCCCAAAGCAAAGCACACCTCAAAATTTTCTTGCTATCAGGCTTTGACTGTCTTGGGTGTCAGCTTAACATTCCATAGGTGGGGGTCAGTTTTATATCTTGTAATACAAAACATGCTAAATGGCAATTTGGAATTACAGTCATAGATTTAATATGTCTTGGATATTTTAAATGACTTCTATTCCTATATTTTTAGTAAAATTGTTTCCTAAAGAAAACTACTTCTTAACTGTTGCCCTGTCAGAACTGTGTGTACTGTGTAACATCTTTGGTAGTGGTAGTCTGATTTGCCTAATTTTGTTAATTTGCTGTGAAAGACAAAAAATTTGAGTATACAGAGTATGTCATTCAAAATTGTGAATTGGGATTTAAGTAACACGTTGTCAGCATTTGGAGATACTGGTACTTAATCCTCTTACAGAAAATTTGTCTCTAAATTTGAAGCTGGAAAGACACTGGAATAACTGAAAAACAATACATGGCTTTGTTTGGTATGTATGTTAAGTGAATCATGTGTACTGATCCTCAACCAATAAAATCTCAAATACTGAAGACAAAAAAATTATCTTGCTATTAAGAAATACAGTGGAATGCTGTAGATAATGGTAGCCAAAAGTCATATTTTCTAAAGGAATACCACCAAAGATAGAAATAAGGAAATACGTGTCATTCAGTATGTAAAAAGAAGAGTTTCAGACGCTTTTATTAAGGAGAAATGATCATGAAATCACAATCATAAAGTTTGGATTAATATTTTAGATTTCTCACTTTGATTTTTTTCATTTCCTTTATTTTATTTTAGGTTCTTTAGGATTGCTATTTTATTTGTTGTCCTTTCTGTTACACTGGATGTGCACATCAGGTGTTAAAAGGCACAATATGCAATACACTCTACCGCTGAGCACTACTGCTGTACTGAACAGGAAAAGAAATGCCATTGAACATCAACATCTGGGAATATTTTTTGGGAAAAAAGTGACTAAAATGGGTTTAAGTTGATAAGACTAACTAAACAGCATCTAATATTTGACACTAAATGATTTAGTACAGCTATACAATACAGTTATACAAAATGTGCTAACATCAAAGCATATAATAAAAATTAAGATAGCAAACAAAACCTAGTAACTTCTTTTTGTGTAGGAAAATACTTTTGAAGTATGTATGTAACTGTCCATTCTTTTTAAAAAAAAATCTGCAAACAATGTTACCATCCTCCAGGAAAATCATACGTAGTATTACTAAGCATATCCCCAAAAAGTGGACAAGCACAAACTTGGAAAATAAAAAATTGTAATTTTTTAAAAAGCTGGGTATCAATCTCACAGCCTCATGCCTGCCAGGCATGCACTTATACTTTTGGGCTATATTCCCAGCCACAAAATTAAAAAAATTGTAAGCAACAGATGAGCTTCACATTTATAAGAATGTGGAATGAAGTTTCATTTTTAGCACGGTTGTATAAAGAACTGTCAATTATTATTATTTTTTTTTTGTGGAACCAGGGATTGAACTCAGACCCTTGCCCTTGCCAGGCAAGCACTTATTATACTGAGCTATCTTCCTGTCCCCAAGAACTGTCAACTTTTTTAAAGGGGTACTGAATGACTGTTCTTTTGTTAATGATAGCAGTTTCTAGAGGCAGTGCTGCGCTGGTCTCCTTGGGAGAGTTGTCTGACCACTGCGCATGATCTCTTCAAACACCCTTGTCAGAAGAGGAGACCCTGCATTCGCATGCCGATGTCTTCTCGGTTGGAAAGGACGCTGAAATTGTTCACAAACTGGTTCATGGTATTAAAGGTTTTGGAACCAAGGTAGGACATGAGCCCCAAATCATGGCATTATCATAAAAGTCTTGAATTTGTGCTGAGCACTGGGGGCCGTGACACAGAGCACAGGCCTCCTGCATGATCTCGTGGTTGAAGTGGACTTCTGTTTCAAAGGTCTTGACATATTCCACGATGAGCTTGATGCAGCTGTGCAGCATTCTGACGGCACTACGCTGTGCTGTCAAATGTTCATCCACTGTAGAGTTTCCTTCACTGTCTGTTGCTGTTATTTGGGCCCTATGGTCTATACCGATGCATTCAGCTCCTGTGGCGGCAGGTGTAGGTCAGCTCAGCAAACAGCATAGTAGCCTCTCCATTGATTTATTGATGACAGACTCAAAACCAGTGGCAGGCAGATCTGTTTGCTTGGACATAGGGTTCAATTTAAGCAAGAGGGGGCTCCCAGTTACCTCACACACCTGCTGTTGGACATAGATGTTGGAGGGGTAGGCAGTGCTGTGGTACACGACCCAGAAATTCCAGTTCCTTGAATACCTTTTTTTTTTTTTTAAATGTATTTAGGACAGTCTACAGGTTTCACAGGGTCTCACTACATAGATTGGATTTGTAGTGATCCTCCTGTTTTCAACCTCTGAAGTACTGGGATTACAGGCGTGTGCCACCACGCCCGGTCTCAATCAAAGTCTCAGTGTGCCCCAGGGGCAGGGCTGGCACGGGACATGCTGGGGATCAAACCCTAGTCACTGTGCTCTGTCTAAGAAGGCACTTTAATCTACCTTGAATACCTATTTAAGCTGCTCATCCTTGGTGTACTAAATATTCCTTGTCAATGATAGTTTTTTCTTCCATGGTATGGGGCAGCAGCTCACAGGAGTTCATCACCTTCAACATTCTGACCTTCCTGCTTCCTGATCAGAGCACTTATCACCTGTACAGGATGCCCCTCCTGGGAGCTCATGGATTCAGTGGTCTGAGATGCTGAGACTGACAAGGGGATGAAGAACAACGGAAACACTGCCCATCACACTGGAGGCCATCACACTGGGGACTAGTGCCTCATCCACCTTAACCCACTGCTTTCTCTGGTCCCATTTGTCACAGCTGCTGCCACTGCCATTTTTCCGGTGCTGCTAGCCTCCAAAGGATTGTCTTTTGATGTGAAGTTCATGAATTGTTCTCCTGATAGGACTACAATTTATAAAACATCATCTTTGAAATGAGATTACAGAGCAAAATAGAACATGCTAGCAATGTCAACTTATTAAAGTTTCTTTTTAATTTTTACTACTTCATCAAAACAAGTCCCTTAAGTGCATAGGATTTACTTAAAATTCTTCCTGGAGGCTGTGGAGATAGCTCTGTGTTCTTAAGTACCTGCCTGGCTAGCACAAGGACCTGAGTTTGATCCCTGGTACGGCACGCTGTGCTGGCCCCAAAACAGGGCATGGTGGTGCATACCTGTATTCCCAGCACTGGGGAGGCTGAGACAGGAAGAGCACTACAAGTCTAAGCTGTGTAGCAACACCTGGTATCAAATAGACAGATAAATAAAAAACTCTTCCTAGAAGTAATATACAAAGGAAAAGTATTATTTATTCCCAGTTCCACTCCTGGAAAATGCTTTCCATGGAAAGAAGGGTCTTGCCTCTTCATTGGTTGTGTTTGGCCTTAGTGTGTGTTAAGACATGAGGTTAGTTGACTAAGCAAACTTATTACAGCCATAGAAGGGGCATACAGAGGGCCTGGCTCCTGGATTTGCACATGTGTGTACAAAATGAAATCTAAATCTCAGAGTTATCTCTGAGCATCTCTGTGCAGACTTTCTGAGGCAGGTTCTCTCCAAAGATCTGTTCTTCAATCACTCTCATGGTCAGTATCTTTTTTCTCATCTGGTGACAACATGGTGATGGAGAACTCGCTCCTCCCTCAGGGTCTCAATCAGCACTTACTTCTGTTCCACCTTCTTGTTGCCCCAGTTGGCCCTAATACCCAGGTAGCTCTTCTTCTTCTTTTTTTTTTTGGTGGGAATGGGAACTGAACTCAGGCCCGTGTGCTTGCCAGGCAATCACTTACTCTACTGAGCCATCTCCCTGTCCGCCCAGGTAGCTCTTCTTGCTGCCATCTTTGTTTTCTTTATTTTTTATTTATTTTTTTGATAACAATAAAATTCTTCATAGGAAAATTTGCATGGGTGTAGGTACACAAATTCTGTACAAGTATAGGCAGACATCATCAGATTTGTACTATCACATACGTATGTTATATTTATG